CCGCCCCCCCCCCCGCCACCCCCGCCATCGCCGCCTCCATCGCCGTCGGATGAAATCAGTGCGACTGGAGTGCACCGCGAGGGAAGAACGCGGGTCTCCCCGTGTGCGGCCCGCCGTTCCCGCTTGCGGCACGCGCGCGCGCGCGTCCGCCCGCCCATCGCTGGTCCGTTCATACATTCTTCTGTCCGTGAGAGTAACACAGCGAGTGGGAAAAGAGACGAGTAAATAGGTCGTTGTGCGCGCCGAAACTCGCTGCACGTATCAATTAATATAAACGACCGCGAAACGCTTCGAAATGGAAGACGAAGGTGCATTCGTTCATTCATCGTAGCAAAATAGACGCAAGCGTGCGAAATCGTTGTGATAGTAGCATAGTTTAAACAGAGTACTACGTAAATAAGAGAAACGTGTTTCATGTTTCTAAACTGGATTAGAATCATTTAGGAAACGCTCGGGAATGTATCTGCACGAAAAAAAGAAATATATATAAAAGGAAGAACTATCTGTCGAGATCGATGCGTCGCATGGACTAGGTCAAGTGATTAATTAATAAGCGAAAGCAAATTAGAGTGATCGTAAAACGGAAAGATCGTAAATCGGAAATTACCCTTACAATTTTTAATCCAACCTTGTCATTTAATCGAGAAAATATCGATTCTGAAAAAGATCTATTGAATAGATGATCTGTTGTTGTAAAAAGGAAAGAAAGGAACAGCAACCAGAAGGCTCGAATTGATCACGCCAGTGAAAACGGTGTCAACGAAGGCGCGGAAAAGCTCGTGCTTGTTTTCGGGGAACGGGAACAGAGCGTGCGAGGGGTGCAGCAGGTGTAGCGAGAGCGCAGCTTCTGTCATCGATCTTACCGCGGCTGCAGCGAGCATGGCGCGGCTCGCCGCGCCGCACACGTCGGATCACGTCCACATGCGAACGCGTGGCGATCGACAACGATCGAATGAGGATGATGCCGTTAATTAGTCACGATCGTCGATGGTGACGCACATTTATTTACCGACGATTATCTCTAACGACGATAATGTCAACGACGAAGACGATGCTGACGACGACGACAACGACTTCGATGACTTCGATGACGATGACGATGACGACGACGACGACGTTAATGACGGCGACGATGATGACGACGATGACGACGAGGACGACGACGACGACGAGGAGGAGGTCGACGTCGACGGAACTGCGAGCGCTGGATCTTTCCGACGCTTCCTTCGCCAGTTACATCGTTTTCCCAGCGTAAACGTCTTGACGATCTTACAGCAAGAGTAAAAGCACAAAGGGACTGCGAAGACTTTCGCGCTCACACTCTGCGCTTTTGGAACGAGGAAACAAGAAGAGAGGAGAAGAGAGGAGAGGAGAGCGGTGCGTCGTGAGCGGTGTTTACATTTGCAAGAGCCACGAGACGTGAACCCGCGAAATCGAGATATCGATCGAGCTTCACAGAAAGCACGATTTAAAATCGCGCATTTCCTTCATTTCTCGTATGTTCGGTATTAGATTCACGAAAATGTGAACCTAAAAGAGCACCATCGACTGATGAAGAGAAAATTCGTGCATGCCGATCTTTATACATCTTGCAAAGATGCATGTCTGTGAAATCGCGAGGATGTATCTCAGTTGAACTTTAGATACGAAAATAAAAGAAATCGCGTACCTCTTCTAATTAATATTTTAATTGAATCTCAATAAGAATTTAACTTGGCGTATCAACATGAAAAATATTAATAACAATTTTCGGAAACATCGAGGGAAAATAAACGTTTTGAGAGACGTGCATACTCGAGTTTATCGAAGCATCAATGAGTTCGATCTATGATATACTATAACCGAGACAAATCGGAATTTTGCGCGATATTTGCATGTCACGAGGAAGCCTAAGTGTGTCGCTAGCAGGGGAGATCTAGATCGATACGTGAAGCTTCGCCAACGCAGTGTCGCGCAAAATCACAGAAATGGACTGCTGCAATTACATCGAGGCTTACGCGGCAGGTGGTCATTTTTATCAGCAGCAGCAGCAGCAGCAACAGCAGCAGCAACAGCAGCAGCAGCAGCAGCAGCAGCAGCAACAGCAACAACAACAACAACAGCAGCAGTACTTTTGTTACGACAATGGTAGTGTAGCGTATCCTGGCTATGATGCCGCACCAATCTCTAACACGATGGACATTAATGCTCGATACAACGGAGCGTTACCACCCACGTATCCGACAGGTAGAACTCTGCAAATGGAATGCATGTCGCATGCCGAAACGATAGTTTGCGTAGTTTTGCGACATTGCGTGCACGTACTATTCTTTTTCTGTCATTTAAGGACCTTATCCTATTGTAACGCTTCACGACAGTAACAATATCATTATCGTTGCGCAGCTTTTTTACATGTACAAAACCTGCACAATGACATATATATAACCATATTGTTATTATCATTAAGAGTTACAGAATAAGAGCCGTAATTACTGCTCAATTCGAAATTAAAAAGGGAATACAAACAAATTTATCAATCTTTTATCTAAATTTATTATCTTCGTAAAATGAAGAAAAGATAACTGTCAATATACAAGTATATTTGATTTGAAAATTCACTTATTTGTTAAATGTTGGAAAAATTAATTAAGAAAAAAAAGAACTTTCTTTCGGCCGAACAAAACTGTACAATAGAAAATTTAAAAATCTGCAAAAGATTTACGTAGTATGCAGATATTGCGTGCAATTAGACAATTCGAGGTAGTTCGTTGTATAATAAATGTGAGATATTTATCATTTGAAAAATATATTTCAGCTATAATGAAAATTACATGATTTCACATTAACGTATTCAAATGAATGTCTTAACATGATTGATCACTTTTGAAAATTTGTTGTACATATATATTATTTGTTTCTATCCTATACTAAATACTTGTGTATTATAAGTATATTCGAAAACAGTACGATTATATAATAGCATGACATTTCTGTATTTAGTAAAATAACAGTAACAATCGCGTGTACATTTTCGCAGATTATGTGTATAATCCGAAGGAGGCGAGGCTACGGAAGGCGATGCGCGAGCAAACTCGCGAGTTGTCACGACGGTCGATCTTGCAAAGCGCGATCGCGACCGCAAATGCGCGCACAGCCGCGATTGGTGGCGCTAATTCCGTCGTTTCCGCATCAATGGCCGGCGACTTTCTAAATCAACATCATCGTTTCGATTGCACGCCGATGCCCATGGGTCCAAACGTGAGCCTTCATCAGACGACAACCGAGCCCTGGTTCCAGGCCGCGCATCGCCTGAAACCCGCACACTCGCCACGAATCGGCGATTGGTATGGGAATATGTGCGGCGATCCGATCGAGAGGCTGCAAGCAATGGGCGCGATGCAACAGCACCAACACCAGCACCAGCAGCGACAGCAACAACAACGTAATATCGAGAAGCCTATCAAGGACCAAAGAAATCAGACATCGGAATGCGCCACTGCGGCATTTTCCTCCAATGGCTATTCACCGGATATCCAGGCCGCGGAGAGAGAAATTCGCAGACCAGAATCCGCGGAATACGCCGACTTTATCGACGGCCAGAAGTGGCATCCTTATCAAGTAATATACAGAATGCAATGGGGCATAGTTATGGGACGAAACACGAGACAGCGTTAAAAAAAAGCGTCGATTTTCGGCTTCTGAATTTCGTTTGTAAATTGGCAAATACAAATTATATCGATCTCATTTTTCAGACAAAGCAGACGCTTTTTTAATCTCTCTTAAATGTAAAACGTATACCTGTTGTTTACATGGCAAAACGTGAATAAAAATTTTTGCCCTCATTAAATTAATATTATAAATGTCTGTAAAAATCATCTGATATTCTGATTGCAGAACAGCGCTAGTCCTCATCCACTTCCGAGAACGCCTCATTCATCACCGCAAATGGGTAGCATTCTTCACCCAGATGTCCAGAATACAAACGCGCATGGACATGGTCCATGGGGTCAATTTTGTCACGGTATTTTACCACGTAAGTTTCACGTATTCCAATATTTTATTCTCTGCAAGTTCTATCGCGACGATTTTTAAACTGATTATTTCATTATAATATGACTAATCGTACTTTTATACACAGAGATCTGTGAATCATGACATATAATAATCTTTAATAGTATTCTTGAAATTTAAACAATAAATAAATATTCACAAATATTAGGTGTACAACTTTGCTTCCGCCGTTTTTTTCCGAAATTCGAGGCTTTTTTTGTAAAAAACTGATTATACATTTATGATTCAAAGTATTGTCCATCGCTGGCCACTACTTTCTCCCATTCGGGTAGCGTACGAATCCCGCATCAAAAAAACTGGTCATTTTTTGAGGCTATCCACGAATCGATCTAATTTTTTACTTCTTCATAAGACCGGAAGTGCTGGTCAGCCAGGCCATGTGCCATTGATCGAAACAAGTGATAGTCAGGAGGGAGCAATAGTCTGGAGAATACGGCGGGTGGGGTAGGACTTCCCATTTCAACGTTTCCAAGTATGTCTTGACCACTTTCGCAACATGGGGTCGAGCATTGTCATACTGCAAAATCACTTTATCGTGTCTCTTGTATTGCGGCTGTTTGTCTTTCAATGCTCGGCTCAAACGCATCAATTGCGTTCGATACCGATCGCCTGTGATTGTTTCAGTCGGTTTTATATATTTAACAGTTCATAATACACTACGCCGAGCTGGTCCCACCAAAGAGCATGACCTTGGACGTCAAAATCACCGTTGTTCAAGCATTGAAACCACTCACGACACGTTCTTTCACTAATAGCGGCCTCACCATAGTATTTGAGAGCATTCGATGAGCCTCAGCCGCAGATTTCTTCATATTGAAGCAAAAAATTAAAACCTCCCGCAAATGACGAGAATTTGGCTCGTAAACTGACATTATCAATCGAGAATAACTTTATGATGCAGACACAAATAATGTTTCTATGGGATTATGTTGACAGATACCCAAGTTTATTGTATGACGTCTATAATCTATTTATTTCGACTACCACTTACCGCTAAAGCCATCTATAGGAAAACGGCGGAAGCAAAGTTGTACACCTAATACAAATGAGAATAAAAGAACTGCGCGGTAATTTGTGAGCTAAAATTCTCGCTGCGTATTGTATGATTGTATCTTTTATTTTGTTCTTCTACTCTTACTTATGAATATTTACTTATTGTACTATAATATCTGTGTCGGTCAAAAGAAGAAAAGGAGAATTGTTATTAAATAAAACATTTTATAATTCACATAATACGATAAAATACACATAATACGATCAACGAACGTGTGTAATATTTTAGATGTTTCAAGTATGACTCGTAACGCGACGATTCGAGGTCCGCGACATGCAGTTTTCTTACGGGATCGTACACCAACCAGACATTGTGCATTCTTGGAGGATGCATCGCAAATGAATTATTCGCCGAGAAAATTGAACATTGATAGCATTCGCGCGTCTTATCCATCGTCGGAGCATCAGGTATTCAATATATACATATATGACATATGACTGTCGCATCATTATCTAGTGAATCCAAGTTTCGCATAACGAATAGATCGTATAAATATATATAATGATTAAGAATAATGGAAAAATTACTAAGGCGTCAATTTGACATTTGCCGTGAATGTTAATAAGGAATTATCAATAAAAAGCATTATGTATGCAGATGCCAAGATTGTTGGGATCAGCGGTGGATTCCGTCATAGACTCGACGACGACGACGACGACGACGACAATGACGACGACGACGATAAATCGACGCGAGGAAGATAGTCGGACCAGATGGGAGCCAAATAATATTGGGATGTCTCTGGACGAACTTGTACCAACCTCTACGGTAAAATATGTCAAGATATACAAAATATTTCTCATTTTTTTAGCTTATATAAGAATACCCGTTTCATTCATCAAATTTTTACATCTCGCTTCATATCTTAAAGACACGTTGATTTTAGCCACAGGAAGGTACGATTTCTCGCGAAAAGGAGCAGGAATCTCGGCATTCAAGCGAACGATTTGAGTTGAAGAAGAAACCTGTCTCGAAGCCACTTCCAGGTTTCCATCAGGCCTTTGGCTCCACGGAGATCGGCAAGTTTTCTAGGTCCGAGTTCTTCGTGAATATGGTAGGTGAGAGTGGCAGCGGTGGCGGGGCTACATCGGATGACGGCGACGGAATCGATGGCGGCGACGATGGTGATGTAAGTAGGGAAGTTTCCGTGTCGGAAACAATGGAAAATACTGCCACGACGGCGGCTGCGACCGCAGCGATCGCGACGGTCGCGACGGCCGCGACCGCAGCTACAGCGGCGACCGCTACCGCAACAGCGGCCGCGGCAGCGGCGGCGGCGGCGGCGGCTATCGCGACCACTACGACCGGCTCTTGCAGGATTTTCGACACCGAGGATAATCGGGCTGCATTCGCTGTCGGCGATGACGCCCGCGCCGTCGGCACGCCCGCGCCGTCGTCGATCGGCAGCGCGTTCTGCGGACAACCAGCGACGCCGCGCTGGCACAGTCCACACGTAGGTGCTATAGGTAGTGAAATTTAAACGAGATCGGCTGCGGTATCGTATACCGTACGTACATTTTTCCAGATTATTGCTATTGAGGAATATCAAGAGATAATTAATGTTTTTCGAAGCAAAAATTTACTATTTTTAGATTATAATTGGAATGAGAGTCAATCTTAAATTTATTATTTCGCGATTGCACAAATAGCCATTTTTTTCTTAATAATTTATTATGGTACTAATAAATATTGGTACGATGATACAAAGTACCGCCGCAGATCGATTTTAATAGGACGTTATCCTCGTCTTTTTTTAGGCTAAAATGGTTCCCGTAGCTTTCTGATGCGTGACAGTTTGCGATAAAGTTGAGTGGTGATATATTGTATTTCCGATAGAAATACGTTACACAACAAACAAATTACTGCTGTAACATTTGTAGTGTTGAGCGAATTTTTATGACAAAAGAACTGTTCACACTTTACATTATATATGCCAATAGGAGATATTTATCCAGAAATTGGAACTGTTATAATTTCGATGTATTTTAATTTAACTGCCAAAGTCATTTCTACGTTTATTTGTGACAAATTAAATTAAGCAAAACATAAAAATCAATCTTTGATATCTCTAATGTCAGAAATTGAGTTCGAAATCGCATCAGTTTCAATCCCTGGGTTTGTCTCCATGATGAAACCTTTGTCGGAACCTATAGCGTCGCTTGGAAAGTAAAAGCGGGACAAAACGCGTGTCATGCGTAGCGAATGCAAGTGCATCGATTGGCGAAAGCTGTCGGGGATCGATATTGGCGTACGAAACGTCCCGACAAACTGCGAACGTTCGTCGAGATTGTGCCTTCCAGAGGATCGGGGATGCGTCGGGGAGTTCTCGTCGAGTTCTCTCGCCTTATCGAAAATCAAAGTAGCACGATACACCGCGTCTCGTATGCCAAAAGGAAAATATAATCAAAAGAAATCATGCCGAGACGATTCGTACTCGATCGGCACCTTCCATCACTGTTGTTA